GACAAAACAGGTGCAAGGAGGTTAAGTGCCTTGTCTAGGTCATACAGTTAGTATCTGAGGTAGGATTTGAATCCAGGTCTTCCTGACTCCAGGTCCAGGGCGCTATCCAGTGTACCTAGCTCCCTATGGTATATTAAAGTCTTACTATGTGCCAGGTATTGTGCTAAGTGCTGGGGATACAAACAAAAAGGCAGTCCCTGTCCTCAAGGAGCTTATATTCTAATGGTGGAAGATACACACACACACACACACACACACACACACACACACACACACACAATGAAAAGGCAGAGAGGGTAGGTGCATGTTCCAGAATAAGGTGGCAAAGTCTAGTTGGTGAAGTATGGCTGGTCTATGCCCTCCCTCAAAATGGAGGCTCTTGGAGGAATTCAACTCCGACATTCTATGTCCCAAGGAAGTACTAGCTTTGGCATGTATTGCAGTAAATATTCTATGTTCTAGGAACTCTTACAGTTTTAGCCATCTGTGTTCTAATGGGCTTCCTAGCTCCAACAACCTGTATTCTAAGGTTGTGTTCTTCTTTTATGTTCTCTGTTGATTTTATTTTCTAACATTCTACATTCTGGCAGTGCTGTTGTTCTTTAATTCTAAAACATGGTTCCCTGACTTTGAAAGGCTTACAATCCAGCAGGGAAATTATGGAGAAAGTCTGGTCTTTTGGCAAGTCTTTCCCTGAACTCTTAACTGCTTCTTTTCCTGTTGTGTTGAAGAGAAATCAAATGCTCTTATCTTTGTACATCTCTCCCCTGCACAGAGCCGATAGCCAGGAAGTTGCATTGATCTGGGTTCACTTACATTCAATAAATATTTGTTAAGTACTTACTATGAACAAAATAGTCACAGTGAGAGGCATCACAGACAGAGGACAGGTCAGTCCTAAAACCAGGAAGCCATGGATTCAAATCCTGCCACTGACACATACTAATTGCGTGACCTTGTGCAAGTTACTTAACCTCTCAGTCCTCTAAGCAACCTCCTCAGGCAGGGATTCTTAACCTTTTTGGTGTCATGGACTCCATTAGCAGGCTGATGAAACCTCTAGTACCCCTATCAGAACAATATTTTAAATTGTATTACAATGAAATACTTGGGATTACAAGGGAAAGCAGTCAAATTGAAAAAATTACCAAAATAATTTTTTGTCTTTTTTTTTTTTAGCTAGGCAATGGGGTTAAGTGACTTGCCCAGGGTCACACAGCTAGTAAGTGTTATGTGTCTGAGGCTGGGTTTGACTCCAGGGCCGGTGCTCTATCCACTGCACCACCTAGCTGCCCCCCAAAATAATTTTTTAAAAAATTCACAGACTCCAGCTTAAGAATCCCTACCTAGGTATGTTGCAAAGAGGGTTCTGATCTGCATTGACAAAGGGAATTGTTTCACCTGGAAGCTCCCCATGCCAATGAAATAACAGGTCCAGTCCCAGTACCTATGCATAAAGCACTATGCCAAACATGGAGGATACAAACAGGAAATAAATAAAAAGATAACAGACCTTGCCCACATGGAGCTTACATTCTACAGATTGTAAATAGGAAGCATAAGCCCTGTACTGTCAAATCTCACTCCTAACCAAGGCAATTGTTCTAAAAGGACTTTGCGGTCATTGAGGAAGGATTGGAGATCATAGAAGGCTAGAGCTAGGGTTGGAAGTAGCTTCAGAAGCCATCTAATCCAACCCCCTTATTTGGTTGGAGAACTGTGGGTAGCTGCACAGTCAGGAAACCTCTGCTCAATTTGAAGTCTGTGCCTGAAATCCTAATATTCTTTTTTTTTTTAATCCTATCAGTGGCAGATACGGAATCATAAATGAGGCAAAGAAATCAGTAATAGAAATGGGCATTTGGGGCAGCTAAGTGGTGCAGTGGTTAGAGCACTGGCCCTGGAGTCAGGAGGACCTGAGTTCAAATGTGGCCTAAGACACATAACACTCACTAGCTGTGCGATCCTGGGCAAATCACTTAACCCCAATTGCCTTCACCAAAAAAATTAAATTAAATTAAATTAAAATTAAAAAAAAGAAAAAAAAGAAACGGTCATTTGGGTCTCTGTGGTCCTGGCCACAGCCTTCAGAGCTCCTGTATCCAGCATGGTGCTATGTTTACCATGCATGCTCATTCCTCAGGCCTAGAATACCCCCTGCATTGACACCCTGTCTCCACCTGTTCAGAGTAGAGACAGGGTCCAACTCAAATACTGCCTCTTCTATAAAGCCTCCCCTGACTCTACTCCCCTTTCAGAAAATTAAAAAAAAAAGGCTAGAAGGGAACTCTCTTCCTTGCAGACTGTCATAATACTTTGTAACAGCTTTTCTTACACTTTGTTTTATATACACTTTATCTTGTCTATCTTCCCTCTGAGACCATAAGCTCTAGAGGGAAGAGACCACACCTAAGTTCCTTCATAGTGCCTAGCACTGTGCCTCGCTCAGTGTAGGTGCTATAGAAATTTGTTGACTAGCCATGCTGGGGTGGGGGAGCTCCTGGGTCCCTTATCTCCAGGACAGTTGAGGTGACAAGTTGAGCCTCTTCCCCAGAGGAATACGTGGAACAGAGCCTAGCTGTTTCTCATTTGAGCTAGCAAGTATGAGAAGAGGTAGCCCCCATGGAGGAAACTGTTGATGGAGCTCCTTACTCAGAGAGCTGCATGCTTGGTAGTGATTGGCTTTCCTGAGGCAGAGAGAGCTAGTTTCTTTTGTCATAGGTTTCTCTGAGAGGGAAGAGGCATCAGCTGATGAAGAGCTGGCTTTATATCAGGCAGCAGGCAGCCGTAGTCCTGCAGAAGAGGGAGAGTGAGGGGCGCCTGTGTGCATACTCACATACTGAGAGGAAAAGCAGAAATCACAGCAGAGGGTGCGTGTGTGTGTGTGTGTGTGTGTGTGTGTGTGCTTCTGCACCCATTTAGTTTACTTTTTTTTTCACCTGTAGTGAAGGGAAGCTCTTCACTTAGTTAAATCTGGGAGTCCAAGGAATCGGCTTGACTCACCCTCCTTCCTAAATGAATGAAACAAGCCTGAAATGGAGCATTTCTAGGTAAGTTCTTCCAGGAAGTTTCAGTGGGGCCCCTGGGTGATGGGGACTGCACGGCAGGGCAGAGGTGCAACAAAGTTGTCCATCTGGGGGTCAAAATGGGAGTTAGCATGCCATTGGTAGGAGTGGGGGTTGGGGAGGTCACAGCCTACGTTGGGAGAACCACCCAAATTTACGTGGGAGAGGGGAGGCTAATTCTTTTCAGCCCACCCAAGCTGTTTAGCATCAGGAGATAGTGTATAGATTGTGACAGGGTGAGCTTCCATGATCCTGCAGATGTTCTACATCTGAACAAGTACTCCAACCCCTGGAAATCTCTCAAATGGGAGAAAGGGGCTGCTCTGGGTTGATTCTTTCAAACTGGCTAAAGGGAAAAAAAATCCTTCCAAAATATGTGGTTTTCCCAAGGATAAAGCCCTGGACTGTGGGAGTGTGTTGCAGGCATCAAGTCCTCATCCAGGCATTGGTCATCTTTTCAAACAAAACAAAATGTTTAGCTAAAGGAGGGAGGGTACTGAGGATGGTGGGGAGTGGGAGGGTGCGTGGCAGACAGGAGAGGCAGCTGTTTCCCTCCCCCTCCCAGGTACCTAGGAACTTCTTACCCTCTTGCTCCTGGCGTTTCAGAGGACCTAGTAGTGGTATGCTGTTGCCAGGCAGGCTGAGTTTCCTTCCTTGGAATGAGGAGGGGATGCTGCAGCTTAGCCCACTGCTTGGGGGGGGGGGATATAAGGGTGACTCATGCAGATCAGCCTCCCAATCACTTGGTTGAAATTGCATTTTACATGTATGTTTCAGGGCAAAGTAGTCATTCAGGGACCATTGTAATCTTCTGAGTAAAGGAGTTGAACATTTGGGTTACTGTGTTTTCATTTGCTTGTCTGGACGAAAGCAGGTATGTAGACAGCTGTCTGTGTGTCCTAGCTAAGTGTCTGTTGGTCTGTCCATGGGTATTTGTATGCCCATTATCTGTCTATCTGCATCTGTACAGGTGTCATTTCTGTCTCCCTGAATCATCATGGGTCTTCTTATCCACCTTTGTCTGCCTGGCTTTGCCATATTTGTCTGTCTGAAGCTGCATTAGTCTTCTGCCTGTCCATGGGGTGTATGTCTATGGGCTTTTCTCTCCCCTTCTCAGTAGAAATAAGTCCCAGGACCCAAACCTAATTGAGTGAGACGCTGCTCTTATTTTTATGCAAACTATTATTATTATACAAACAAGGGTAGAAGATTCTGTGCCTTAATTGGGTTTTATTTTCATCCTATTTCACCAAGTTCCCCAAGGAAGCTTTGTTGCAAGCAATTGTTTAAATTTGCTGACCCCAAAACTAGAGAACTAAATCATTTTGGTCTCAGTATAGGGGGAAAGTTTAAATAAAACACCCCAAACAAGTGTCTAGTTCCAAACTGGCATTTTCCCCACGGGAGAAGATCAGTCATGAAGATTTTTTAAATTGTCTATGCGGCTGCCATTTGTATGCCTAGGGTACCAATGCCCATCTCCTATTTTCCTAGAACATTTCTCTGGATTGCTCAGAGCTGTTGACACATCTGACCGTAAACTTCAAGGTTCAAGGAGAAGGACCATCTAAGAGATGGGGGTGGGGAGGCACTCAGAACTGGGAGCCCAAGGAGTCCTGTCTTCCTGCTCAATAGACTCTAGATGCCTTTTGCCAAGGAACCTTGAACCAATTGACCCTTTGGCAGCTCCTGAAGTAGGGTGCTTAAGATGCTCTGGTTGGTTTTTCATTCCCCTGACCTTCCTGGGCAAGGATGTTCCCTTCCCCTCCTCAGAGATTTCTTCCAATTTATCCTACATACTAGCTTGTTTGTACATAGTTGTATCCCTCCTCAAGATGGAGGCACCTTGAGAGCAGGGACTATATTTTTGCTATTCTTCGCACAGCTCCTGGCACAGGGTAAGTGCTTAATAATTACTTGTTAGCCAACTGACTCAGAGCACTCTAACCATACATACCCCCATCTCCAACACATGATTGTAAGAACTAGAACTAGAAGGGACCTCAGAAATCAACCAGTCCAATACTTATTTTAGAGAGGAGGAAACTGAGGCACAGAGAAGGGGAGTGACCTGCCAAAAGCTGCATAGGTAACAGGTAGTAGAAACGGGACTCCCATTCTCTTTCCCTTCCTTCCTCCTATCAAAGACTACTCTCTGGAAAGTTTTGTCATGGCCTAAGAATCTTGAGGGGGAATTCCTGAGATAGTGAAACAATGTCTGTAATTGTGATGTAAACTCAGAGACCTCAGCAATCAATCCCTAATCTTTTATTTAAAAAAAAATGTGGGGAGGAAAGGGCTGTTATATAAGAAGGCTGAATGAGGAAGGTAATAGATGGAGTAGAGTCAGAACAGGGCTTAGAGCACTTAAATTATTTCTAATTTCTTGCACTTTAGCATTGACTCAGCAGCTGCTAGATAGAGTTACAAAGTTACTGACAGCTGTGTGTATCATGTATGAAAAGGGAAGAGTGATACCATAACAAGGGACAAAATGTCACTTCTCTACTCTAAAACCTTCAGTGATTTCCCGTTGCCTAGTAGAAATATATATGTATAAATATATAATATTACATAAATATAAATAGAGAATATATAAAGGTATATACATGCACGTGCATATGTGCACATATATGCACATGTATAACATATACACATATGTATACATACACATGTGTGTATATGTGTATACTGTGTGATTGTATATGATGTGTGTGGTTATGTGTAATATGTGTGTATATATAATACATGTGTATATATGTGTGTTATGTATACACGTGTGTGTGTGTGTGTGTGTATCTGCCTTTTAATTCTGGTATTCAAAGCCCTCTCCCATATGCCTCTACTTTCCAACCTTTCCAACCCAACGTCTTCTTGTTTCTCTTCATGGACTGTATTCCAGTTGTTGTACCAACTCTCCTCCTTCTGTCCTTCCTTCTCTCACACCTCCATACTTTTTAATGTTAAGTTCACTTGGGCTTAGCTAGAATTGCCTATACTTTTTTTGTTTCTTGAAGTTCCTACCTTCCTTCAAGCAACACCTTCGATGTTATTCCCTGAATACCCAAGGTATCTATCCCTCCAGGTTCTTATCTTACTTTTTGAACCCTATAGCAGTGTCTTTCGTAAGTAAATGCATTTATCTATTAAGCGCTTACCTTATGCCAGAAACTGTGCAGAACACTAAGTATACAAAGAAGGGCAAAAATAGAATCCTTGTCCTCAAGAAACTTACATTCTAATGGGGGATACAATGTGTAAACAACTTTGTGACACATAGTGGGAAGTTTGAGTGGGATCTGGAGTCACCCAAGCAACAAGTTTCCATGTAAGTTATAAATTTGGGATTCCAGAATCCATCTGGACCAAGTTAAATGGACTTTATGGTCCTCAGTTGCCTTATCTGCAAAGTGAGAATGACTTAGTGCCAGTCTCAAAACAGGCATCAGGACAAGGTGATTTATTGAGCTCCCTTCCAGCTCTAAAATTTGTGATTACAATCTCAGAGTCAAACTATTTCCAAGAGGAGCACAACTTTCATGAAAATATAGTTTATGTTTTGTTTATGCCTCTATATATGCCTGATATTTTCCTTAGTAAAATGTAAGCTCCTGTGGGCAGAATCAGTTTTCGCTTTGCCTTTGAATCCCCAGTCAATCAGTCGGTCATTCAGTCTTTGGTTGGTCTGAAGCCTTTATCAAGTGCTTACTGTGCTCCAGGAGCTGTGCTAAGCAAAGGGCTGCAAAGAAAGGCAAAAACAGTCTCTGCCCTCGAGGAGGAGCTCACTTTCTAAGGGAGGATACTTTTCCTCATCTGTAAAATGTGAATAATGCCACCTACCTCCTACAGCTGCAGTGGATAGAGCACTCATCCTGGAGTCAGGAAGACCTGAGTTCAAATTTTACCTCAGACACTAGCTACTTGTCTCTGGGCAAATTGCTTAACCTCTACAGTTTCCTCAACTGTAAAATGGGGACACCAATAGCATCTACCTTGCAGGGTTATGAAGATCAAATGAGATCATATTTGTAAAGCATTTAGCACAGTGCCTGGCACATAGTAGGCATTATATAAATGTTAGCTATACCCCCCAAAATGTCACCAAGTAGCTAATCTTTTGATATCTTAACAGCCTCTCTGTACTTAACTTGGCTGATCAATCAGTCAATAAGCATGTATTTACTAAGCCAGGCACTGTGTTAAAGACTAGGGATACAAAGAAAGGCAAAAGACAGACCCTGCCCTCAAGGAGCTCACAGTCTAACAGGGGAGACAACATGAAAATGACTATGTACAAAAGTGATGTAGGCAGGAAGAATCAGAGATAACCAATGGATGGAAGGCAGTAGCATTAAGGGGGATCAGGAAGGGCTTCCTGTAGATGATGGGATTTTAGCTGGGACTTAAGGAAGCCAGAGAAGCCTGGAAGACAGAGATGACCAGGGAGAGCATCCCAGGCATGGGGGACAGCTGGGAAAAATTCCTGGAATCCTGAGATGGATTGTTTTGCAAGATGAACAGCCAGGAGGCCAGAGTCACTGGATGAGGGAGAAGAGCCAACCTAGAGGAAGGCCCCCATCACATAGAGGCATTCATCTAAAGGGGATTCATTCCTTAGGCCAGTGGTTGGAGTAGATGATTTATGAGGCTCTTTCCAACACTAAAATTCTGATGCAAAGAGATACTCAGTGCCACAGTTTGTTCATCTGTAAAATGGGTGTGAAATATCCCACTTACTTCACAGGTTGAGAAAACACTGTGTGAGCTTTAAAGTGCTGCAAAAATATGAATAAGGAGTGAGAAATCCTGAGTACAAATCTTGGCTCTACTGTCTACTGCCTCGGTGACTGTGGGCAAGTCACTTAACACCTCTGGGCCTCAGTTTCCTCATTTGTAAACTCAAATGGTTTGATTAGATGATAGTTAAGGTCCCTTCCAGCCCCAAGTGCTATGATCCTCTCCTATATCTAATGAAGGACAAACATGAATAACTCTGTCTGTGTGTTGCTTTTGCAGAAGCTAAAGATGCGGGTTTTCTCCTTGAGATCTTGGTGTTTTATGTGGTCCAAAGCCCTTCAGGCTCTCTAGGAAATGAAATTCAACCATCAATCCTAGCTCTTCTCTCTCTCTCTTTCTCTTTCTGTCGTCTCTCTCTCTTCCTCTCCTCTCTGTCTCTGTCTCTGTCTCTGTCTCTCTCTCACACACACCCACTTTCCCTCTCCCGCTTCATCATGGAGAACCACAGCAAAGTTGACAGCCCCACCAATGTGTCCCTGGTGGGCAGTGACACTGTCCTGGGCCTGATCGAGTACAAGACTGTCTCTGTCTTTTTGGTGCTGCTGATCTGTGGGGTGGGCATCATCGGCAACATGATGGTCGTACTAGTTGTGCTGACCACTCGGGACATGCGGACACCCACCAACTGCTACCTGGTCAGCCTGGCCTTGGCCGACCTCATGGTACTCCTGGCAGCTGGACTGCCCAATGTCTCAGACAGCCTGGCGGGGCAGTGGATCTACGGGCATGCTGGCTGCCTTTGCATCACCTATTTTCAGTATCTTGGAATCAACGTCTCTTCTTGTTCCATCATGGCATTCACTGTGGAGAGGTAGGAATATTTCTTTTACTTACATTGCCTTGCTCATATCTCAAGGCTTCTATGTAAATCATAAAGTTCAGTCTTACCAGAAGCCAGTCACTTTGGGAAACTCTAGCAAAGTCTGGGAGGGAGTTACAACCCATTGCCAGACAGGTAACATTTTAGAATAAAAAGATCCCTGGATTAGGAGATAGAAGACCTAAACACTGGGGATACAAAGACCACCTCACATTCTGGTGGAGGAGACCACATTTCCTTATCTGTAAACTGGGGATGACAACAGCACCCAAGATCGAATGACATCCAGTAATGCTTCCCAGCTCTGACGCTCCTTAGCTGTATGACCACAGCTGAGTCACTTAACCAGCTGAGACCTAGTTTCCTTGCCTCAGTCCCTAACCTGTTATTTTGCCTTGGGCATTTACCTTCCTCTGCACCACCCTGGGCCCCTCTTGCAGGGGTTCTCCACTTTTATGCATGTTATGGACCCCTTTGGCAGTCTGGTGAAGTCTAGGGACGCTTTTTTCAGAATAATGTTTTTAAATGAATAAATTAAAATCTATAGGATTATAAAAGAAATCAATTATTTGGAAATAGTTATCAGAATGTTTTTATAAAGCAGCTTAGATTAAGAACCCCTGCTCCACAAAACGAGGGAACTGAACCAGGTTAAGATAACAGTAGACCACATTTATATAGCTCTTATGGTTTACAATCTACACTACCCTGTGAGATAAGTCACGTCAACATCCTTATCCTTTTGCAGATGAGGAAACCAAAGGTTCAGAGAGGTCAAGAGACTTACCTAGGGACACACAGCTAAAAAGTGTCCAAGCAGGATTCAGACTCACACCTCCAAGTTCAACATTCTACTTCTAACTAGATGGTCTCGTGGTGCCTTCTAGTTTTCCAATGTGTAATTTTTCAGATTTGAAGTGTTATTACTATTTCATGGATGAGCCTCTGACGAAGTGAAGGGCTTTCCTGAGGCAGTGATCGAGCCAGGCTGTAGATGCAATTCTAAGAATCATCTCCATACCTGTGCTGTCATCCTCCCTCCCCACCATGTGACTTAGGATCCTCTTTTTTGCTGGCCTCATCGGCAATAACAAGCATTATAATTAGTACCTGTTGCATCTCCAGCCCCATGCTAGGAACTGGAAGGGATTGAGAAATGTCTGAGACAAGCAGGGGTGAGCTAGAACCACCCCGACAGGCTCCTGAGAGTCTTGGGGTTCCTTTGAGCGGGAGCATTTGTTATAGATTAGGGCTTGATCTACTGTTTTATTGATTGTCTAGACCTAAGAAAGTGGTGGAGAAAATGCTCCTAATGCAAATTAAACTTAAAAGGAGTGTGCAGAGCTTTTTTAAAGGAGCTGGTTGTTAAACTTTTACCAGCACACCCCTGAAGATATGGCTCTCACCTTGATATGTTCATCATCTAGTTAGTCTATGCTCTGTTCTTTCCCTTTTCTAGGTATATAGCTATCTGTCATCCCATAAGGGCCCAGACAGTGTGCACAGTATCCCGGGCCAAGCGTATCATCGCTGGAGTCTGGGTGGTCACGTCCACCTACTGCATGCTTTGGTTCTTCCTGGTTGACATCAATGTCACCAAGAGCCAGAGTCTGGAATGTGGTTACAAGGTTTCCAGGAACCTCTACTTGCCCATCTACCTGCTGGACTTTGCCATTTTCTTTGTCACCCCCTTGGTGGTGGCCACTGTCCTCTATGGGCTAATCGGGAGGATACTCTTCCTGAGCTCTCTCTGCCATATGACCAGTTGTGCAGGCACAGAGGGCTACCCCGAGGGGAGTGCCCCAGAGAGGGGACAAGGCACCAAGGCAGAACAGGGCAAGGCTGGTGGTCACTCTCGAACCAAAGGGGCCCTGTCTTCCAGGAAGCAGGTAAGATGGGCCTCCTTTCTTGTTTGGAGTGAAGGGCACTGTGGAGTGTTGGGAGTGAAGGGAGAGAGAGATAGAAAGGTTTGAGGTGGAAGTGGGATAAAGGAGGAGAAAAAGAGAGGAAGAGGCAAGCAGAGAGACAGCATGCAGCAGGAGAAAGGCAGAAGAGCTTACTATGTGTGAGCTGGATGATGCAGTGGACAGAGCACTGGATATGAAGTCAGGAAGACCTGAGTTCAAATACAACCTCAGAGGGCAGCTAGGTGGAGCAGTGGATAGAGCACCAGCCCTGAAGTCAGGAGTACCTGAGTTCAAATCCGGCCTCAGACCAAACACTTGACACTTACTAGCTGTGTGACCCTGGGCAAGTCACTTAACCCCAACTGCCTAAGACCAAACAAACAAACAAACAAACAAATACAACCTCAGACAGTTGCTAGCAGTGTGACTGACCCTGGGCTAGTCACTTAACCTGTTTGCCTCAGTTTCTTCATCTGTAAAATGAGATGGAGAAGGAAATGGCAAACCACTCCAGTATGTCTGCCAAGAAAATCCCAAGTGGGAGATGGACAAAGAGTTGGACACTACTGAACAACAAAATAAAAATCATGAGTGAAGTTCTGTGCTAAGAAGTGAAAAGACCAAAAAAAAAAAAGGTAAAAAAAAATCACTGTTCCCTGCCCTCAAGGAGCTCACATTCTAATGACAAAGGCAGTGAGATATGGAAAAAAAAGGGGGGGGAGATAGCAACAGATAAATACACATACACAGAGAAAAAGAGACAGTGATGGAAAGATATACACAGACAATGAACAGCAACCAAGGTAGGCAGAGACAGAGCAAAGGGCTTTTAGGAGAGAGAAAGGGCAGAGAGGGAGGCGGGCAGAGAGGCAGAGAAAAAGAAATTCAGGGGACAGAATGCAAGCTTGGGTACCACATATACAATAACTCTTACAGGATTCCAAGGAAGAGAATGCTAACAGAACAAAGCTGAATGGAGGAGGAGAAAAGAATATGTGATTTTCCAGCTAATAATTGTCACAGCATCAAATTGGTCCAATTTAATGTTCATATCTTTGCTGTACTTTAAATAAAGGAAATATAGGGTTTGCTCTCCCTGGAAGAAGCTCAGGGGAAACCCACTGGGAACCTCCCCTCCCCCAGCTAGCTCCTCATCAGGAAGGGAACATAAAAACTGTTCACAGATTCATTGATAGGTACTGCTGCCAGTCGTACTTGTCAACATACAGTCATTTTAATAACCAGTTTATTATGTGCTGAGCATAAACTCATGGTACACAAAAGTCATTGGGACTCAGCAGCCATTGTCAGTGACTTTATATAGGTTTTAGTTACATCTGCAGGACAGATATAATGGAACTTTACACAGGGCAAAAGTAAAAGGTAAAGATTTACACTTCAGATATTAGAGAATAGAAGGGGATGATTTGCCTTAGGTAAAAATTATAAATTAGCCAGTAAGTACTGGGGATTAACCTGGAATCTGCAGACTAACCATTAACAACAGAGTTCTACCTAGTTATTTAACATGCTCATGTTAAGTAACTACAGGTAATAAAGCCAAGCTGGAAATTCTCCTATCGCTAACCAGTTAATCACCAGAGCTAAAGGTAGATGTCTCTGCTAAAGTCTGCAAGCTCCAGCTAGTTATGTGATTTGTTATCTCAAGCTAGTAGTAGCAATATTTCAATTCTTTATGACAAAGAGGATATTGGAGTGTGTGTGTGTGTGTGTGTGTGTGTGTGTATGTATGGGAGGGAGTGAGAGAGAGAGAGAGAGAGAGAGAGAGAGAGAGAGAGAGAGAGACAGAGAGACAGAGAGACAGAGAGACAGAGAGACAGAGAACTAGAGATAGATACAGAGAGAAAAAAACATAGAGAACACAGTAACTAGTTTAGGTTCCAGACAACTGGTCCACTGGGGCATGGGTAGGGGGCAGTGTTTTCCAGGTACTTTCAGACACAGACCTAGACTGCTTTCCTCCAGGAAGCTCTAAAGCTCCCCAGAGCTTGGGGAAGCAGGAGATGCCTAGTTAGATGCTTTCATGTATGTTTTGTGTGTCAAGAAAGGTCAGTATTTAGGTTCTCTTCTCCACCTCTCCCATTCACCCACTTTTGCTCCATCCAAGAGTCCCCAAGAGGTTTTCCAGCATTCTTAGATTTTTTAATAACTAGTAAGTACTTAATTAATGCTTTTTCATTCATCTGGAATTGTATTCTACTCCCACCATACTCATATTGCCTCTCAGTGACGATTTGAGTTTTCCCTATCTGTAATATGAGGGGGTGTTATTAACACCTACAAGCCCAGTGACTGGAAAGGGATTTAGGCATATAATGGCCCAGCCTAAATGGTTAAGATGATCTCATAATACAATTAAAAGTAAGATTTTAAACACTCACCCTTTCCCTCCTAGCAGCCTCCACTCTGGATTTGCTCTATTTTTCTGATCAGCTATTCTGAGGAAGGAAAGGCAGCACAGTTTGATAGCGAGGTCACTAGATAGAGAGGTAAAAGACCTATGATTAGGATATATCAAATCTACGCTTTACCATTGACTGTCCATGTGACCTGGGTGAGTTGCTTTACCACAATCAGTCAATCAATAAACATTTATTAAATACCATACTTACAAATAAAGGCAAAATAGTCCCTGCTTCTCTCAAGCATTTCACAATCTTGTGAGAGCCATAATACGCAAACAACTATGTCCAAATAAGCTATAGACAGGATAAATCGGAAAAAATCAATAGAGGGAAGACACTAGATTTAGGGGGGTTTGGGAAAAGCTTCTCTGAGAAGGTGGGATTTTAGCTGGATTTGAATGAAGTCAGGGAAGCCAGGAGGCAAGAGAAGAGGCAGGAAATAATTCCAGGCATGGGAGATAGCCAGTGAAAATCTGTTTCTTTATCTGTAAAATGACCCAATTGTTCTAATAATTATAATGGCATTATAGGAGAAATATCTCCTTTATAAATTCATGTGGTAGGTAACTGCTGCTGATATAGATCCACCACAATGCAGAAATTATAGAGGTGAGAAAAACCTAAGTTTTATTATGTTTAAGCATAGGTTCAGATCTCAGACAAAAAAAGAAATTTGAATCCCAATTAGGATTCTAACAAGGCCTCTTATAGACAAAATTATGTCAGAGTGACAGAGCTTTCTTCTTTTACCTATTGCAGTCTTGTACATTCCTCTTAGGAAATAACAATTAGAAAAGATAGATTCAAAATCCCATGCTTCCTTCAATGTTATAAAAGTTGAACAAACTTTGTTAAACAGTGTCATAATCTCATACATAAGCAAGCCTAGTTAAAGAGACTCTATAGGTAAACTAAGTCAGTTTACAGATTAAACTACATTTAGAGGGATCACAAATAGGCTGATTAAAGAAGGATATTTATGTGTTATCAAGGAGTCAAGGACAGTTGAGATTCTTCCTCTGACCTAAGGAATGTTTAAAGCCTTAAGTAAAATTTTACATCTCATGTCCTGGCCTTCCCTTCATATCATTATTCCATGAACTCAAGTGTTGGTCAGATGTGGTTAATATTAATAGAAGACAGGCTTTTAGTTAACCAAAAATTGTAGGAGGGATGGCCTTGATACCCAAATAATAAAACTTTAGGAAAGGAAATAAAAATTCCCATAACAACAGTTAGGGCTTTAAGGTTTGCAAATCACTTTATGTATATTAAATCAATTGAGCCTCACAATAACCCCCATTTTACAGATGAGAGAACTAAGGCACAGAGAGGTTAAGAGACTTACCCAGACTCACATAGCTAATCAGTGTAAGAGGCAAAATTCAAATTCAAGTCTCTCAAGTCCAAGTCCTGTACTCTATTTACCCTGCCACTCCCTCTTCCCAATATCTATCTCCCTCTAACTAGATCAGGGATTCTTAACCTGGAGTTCATGGATTCAGAAAAGAGCCACAGATAAATTTCAGGGAGGCCATAAACTTGAATGGAAAAAAATGACATCTTTATTTTCATTAACCTCTTACTGAAATCCAGCATTTTGTATATTTTATGCATTTAAAAATATTCTGAGAAGGTGGCCATAGGTTTCACCAGGCCACCAAAAGAATCCAGTACATAAAAAAGATTAAGAACTCTTGGAGCAGAAGATCTCTAGACTGCTACTAGCTTTATATCTGTTATGCTGTGATAACGTGCATTATTAGGGATGGCCCTGAATCTGTCAGGATTGACTAACTGACAACCTCAGGGCTGTTTCCATTCCATTTTATGCACATAACTCCCTAGGTGGACCAGGCAGGCTCTCTGGCCCTACTCCAAATGGGGCTAGACAAAAAGGTCTTCCGTTTGCTCTTACGTGGCTTGGGTCCTCTTGAGACAAGCACTGCTGAGAGAGATAGCTTGGCCCTCTTGCCTTCTTCCTCACTACCATGCTAGATCTCCTTTGCACCAATAGAACTCCTGACCAGAGGAGAAAGAGAAGACGACTATCAGATTACTTCAGAGCAGCTGGCAAGAAATTATCTAGAGAGAATGCAAAGCATAGCAGCCAAATTTCTGCCAATAGGAGGTAGAAATTTGCAGCTTTCCTCTCCCCCAACACCCCCTCCCCTCTACTAAGATTGTTTTTCTTTATCTCATGACTCACTTCAGCCCAAGAATGAAAGGGAGGGGAGCCAAGGATATGGGTGTGGGTAAAGATAAATGGTGTCGAAGAAGGACCAGCTCTTGGAAAAACTGGGAGACCAGACAGGTTTGTCTTCAATGTCTTCCCCTTCTTTTGCATTTCCCTTCTAACCTTAAGTCCTCTTTTTTTTTTCTAATCCTTCCTCCTCATTCCCTTCCCTTTTGGCACTTAGGCTGTCCTAAAATGATGATTCCAATTTAGGCCAAAGAACAAAAGGAGGAAGAGGAAGAAAGCATTCCCACTTTCTATAGCTCCCTAAGCCGATTTCTTTGAGATTCTGGACATAGGGGAAGGGCTTATTTTCCTAAAGCTAATAACCTAGCTTTCCCCCTGTGAGTTAATTTTCTCAGAGTTTCACCTGGTAGATCTCCAAGTAGCCATATTCCCACTTGCTTTTCTTATTCTTCATGCCCCCCATGGTTTTCAGGAATTCCTTGAAGTGAGTGTGACAATACCTTCTTACTCACCTGTTCCCATGTCTGATCTGCTGCCAAGGCTTGTGGGCTATACCTTTATAGCATCTCTCGCATGTGGTGCCTTCTCTCCTCTGACATCTCCACTACCCTGGGCAGATTCTCATCATTTCATTTCACTATTGAGATAGTCTGCTAGTGGATCTGCCTAGCTCTTGTCTCTCCCCACTCCGATCCATCCTTCACTCAGCTGTCAAAAGGATCTTCCTGAAGCCCAGGTCTGACACTGTTCAATAAAACCCAGTGATTCCCTGTTACCCTCAGGAGCAAGTACAAAACTCTGTTTGGTTTTTAAAACCCTTCATAACCTAGCCCTCTCCTACCTTTCCAGTCTTCTTACACATTTTACAACCCAACACACCCTAATACACTCAGCACCAATGACCTTCTCACTGCTTCTCTAACACAAGTCACTCCACTTAGAACTCTATACCTTTCCATTGGCTGCCCTTCCCCATACCTAGAACGCTCTCCCCTCCTCTTACCTGCCTTCAGGCTTCTTTGGCTTATTTCAAGATTCAGCTCAAATTCACCTTCTGCCCTTTCAGGCACCCCTTCCTTGTTCCTACACTAATCCTTATGAGCTTACCCTCCATCTACACTGTATTTATCTTACACAGTTGTTTGTGGGTTGTCTCCCTCTTAGAATATAAGCTCCTTGTGAGCAAAGATTGTCTTTTTTCCTATCTTTGCATCACCACATTTATCAGTATCTGGCACTCAGTAAGTGTTTAATAAATGTTTGTTGGCTGTTGACTGACTACCGATTCCCCTGTCAGTTTCCCTGCCCTATGTGCGGGCTCTACCTCCAAATCTCCAGAGTTGGTCGGGGTGGAAGGGAGGTGTAGATTGGGGAGAAGAGCGGTGGTGCGTCATAGAAGAAAGCTCTCTGATGACCTGAGGGTGATATTTATTAGCTAGATGACAGTAGGCAAAACATGTCACCTTTCTGAGCCTCAATTTCCTTGTTTTTAAAATGGAGATGATTAAAAATTACATTACACGTATTAAGACAAAAATTGTATAAGGATCTGTTGATAGGTACAGCTGTCAACTATATCACCAATGATGCAGAGCTATTAGGAAAGCTGGTTTATTATGCTGAGAGCGTAGACTCACTGTGTACAAAAATCAGTGAGCCCCGAGTAGCAGTTTTAAGCTACATTATACAGGTTTTGGTTACAAAGACAGGACTGGTACAATGGAATTTTACAGAAGGCACAAAGATAAGGTAATGATTATAAATCAAAGAACAGACATCAGAAAGAGAACCTCTGCATCAGGTGAAACAGGAAACTAGCCAATAAGCATAAAGCTAGCTGATATCTCAAGCTGGAATTTGCAAACTAACTCGTTAACACTAAGACTGTAGTTTGATATCTTAGCTTGATTTTGCAGGCCCTTGAATTAGGGGTGGGGAACCTGTGGCCTTAAGATTTCAGGTTCCCCACCCATGCAGATAAAGTTGAGCTAGAAACTTTCTTAACACAATACCATAGGATTTTGTGAATATTCAGTGAGATATTGTATGTCTATATGTATGTAGACAGATTAGAGATAAAGTATTTATTAAACACCAAGTGCCAGTCATTTGTGTTAAATGCTGGGGCTACAAAAATACTAGCAAAGCAAGACAGTGCTAGCCCTCAAAGAGCTTATATTTTAGTAGAAGATAATAAGAGTAGGAAAGGGGCTGGAAAAGGGAATAGCATGGGCGAGAGATGTCAGAGAAATAGCCTGGAAGCCTGATTCCTTGTGGTGTCCAACAGGCAGAATCCAAGGTTTCCATGGGGGTGGGGGTGGGGATGAGATGGGAATAATGTACAAAGACAGAGGCAGCACATTCTGGACATTGCCAAAAAGTGGCCTGGAGGCCTGGATACAAGCAAAATAAGGCTGAAAGTTTATGTATCAGAGCCAAAAGCCCCAGGTCATGGAGTCTAAAGTTCTGGTAAAGTCCTTTGTAACCATTAAGTGCTATATAAATGCCATCTTTTATTATCAATAAGAAATCATAATTATATTAATTTTTAATAATTTATTATTATTGATCATACCAAATGGGAGGTAAAGTATCCAGGCACTTCATTGTAATGCCATTTGGGTATGGTTGAACTTGGCATTTCCAGCAGATGAGTTATTGGCTACACTGTTCTCCTCACAGGTCACCAAGATGCTGGTTGTTGTGGTGGTCCTCTTTGCTGTCCTATGGATGCCTTACCGGACCCTGGTCCTAGTGAACTCCCTTATGGACCACCCTTACCTTGACCCATGGTTTCTCCTATTCTGTCGAACCTGTGTCTATGCCAACAGCGCCATCAACCCTATCATTTACAACCTCATGTCCCAGAAGTTCCGGATGGCCTTTAAGAGATTGTGCAAATGCTCAGAGGAAGAGCCCCAACGGCGAATGGTCTACTTGACCACCACTAGCTACAGTGTAGTACAGGAGTCCTTCCAGGCCAAGCCCAGGGCCTTGGGCAAGAAGCACGGGCAAGCTCAGCCTCACTTGGAGCAGGAACAGGGGCCTGAGGGTTCCCAGCCTGCTGGCCAACCAGCCAGTCAAGAAAAACCATATTTCAGTGTGGTCTAGCACCCTCCCATGACCTCTGTCCCCTGCTTTTTCCTTTCTCTTATAACCTTGCATGATTGAGTTCTTCTACTGTTCTATATTCCTTTACATTCTAAAGACCCTTCAAGTCAACAAAAGAGGTATGTGACAAGATGAGGAGATATCATCTTAAGGATGAATAGGCCAATCTTAACAGAGCAGTGTTTTCCTACTAGCAGACTGGAGAGCCTGGTGGGCAGCTCTGGGTACTACTCTGGAAATAGTAGCAGTAGTGTCAAGAAGAGGGGGACTTAAGATATTCCATATGGAGAAGGAACTGGGAATGAACGTAGGCTGTCTGAGCAGACCAAATCTTTGTCATTTTCGACTTTTCCAACTACATAAAGACTCTGGACCTCCAATGTGATGCTGACCCAATGAACTTTCTTCTCGAGGTTAAGGACCCAAGGAAAGAATAGGCACTGGTTATCTAGAAAATAGTTGGATAAATGGAAATTGACTATATTATGATACAGAAAGTTAGGCCTTTGCTTGCTGTTAGACCTGATAGATCTAATTCCCAAAATGAAGTCTCTTTAAATGGAAAAAAAAAGTAAAATTACACTGAAAAATAGCACTAATTGAAGGCAGTGCTCAGGTTTTCTGTTCAGTTAGATTTGGGAAATCAGTGAGGCCTGTTTTCAGACTAATACAGGGCTTTATATAAGCGATGTTTTAAAAGGAGCGTAATGATTAATGTCTTCAACACAGCTTATTTCATACTGATTTGTGGAGGCTTTTAGGAAAGGTATTCATTATAGGTCCTACCCCGAAAAAGCTAGCTAGCAATCTAATGAGAAGATGGTTCAGTTTTGAGACAAATATTTGATACTTCTGTAGCACACATCTTACATGATTCTGAAATCCCTCTATATGTCAAGTTCAGTGTAGAGTGACTGGAGTAATCAAAGGTATGCAAATAATTATAATATGGCTCAAGAATTCTGTCAGGGCATTCTTTTGCCAACATGCCAGGTAGAAACCAAATATCAAATAGAAAAGCATTTAATTGGGATGAAATATCCAGGTAAATAAGAAGAGGAAATCAAACAATAGAATTTTTCTAAGTCCCTCTCTCCAACAGAGAACAGGTTCCCGCAGACCCCCACAGCAGCATAGGGGCAAGAGAATGCTTCTCTGGAGCTATCATCTGATGCTGAAGCTGCTATTCCCTTCTCTACCAAGCTGTCAGCTGATGTTATGATGATTCTTCCTCAAAGGATGGCAGGGGAAAAAATGATCGATCTTGCGTGAGACCAGGCAGGCCAACGTGTCTCAGGGGCCAAGAACATCCTCAGTACTTTCTTTAGAAATGCCTCACCATGTCAGGCAGCTATAGCAATTTTTTAAAAAATATTTTTCAAAATTTTTTTTCTTCTTCATTTCCTCCCACGGAAAGTTCCCCCTAGGCCTGGGGGGAATTGAGTAAGTCAATTCATTTCCAATTCCAGCATATCCCTTTCTGCTACGCTATATAAATTTCTTTGAAATTTGGAAAAGCCTCAGTGAGGCATTTAGCATCATTGGAGGGGAAAGGGAGAGCTTTCAAGCTCCACATTGCATTCCTGCCACTGTAGCAAAGGCCTCTGTGTGTCCCTTACACTTCAGGTTATTTGAAGCAGATGGAAGAATGTGGTATGATGGAAAGACTACATGACTGGGATTCAGAAGGGCTAGTTTTTGTCCTAACTCCACTAATAAGTAGCTGTGTAACCCTGGGTTAGTCACTAAAGCCTTCTAAACCCCCATTTTCCCATCTGTAAAATGAAGGGGTTAGATAAAAATGACTCTTTAAGAGCCCTTCCTGTACAAGTATTCTAGGTTATCTGTGAGTCCCAGGTCTGGAAGCCTGGATTTCTGAAGCAGGGCTCTGTTTGGGGTGGATTGTAGAAGTCTTTGGAGTAGGGGCTAATGTGGGAGTAAAAGCTAGTCAAAAGGGGCTGGAAAGACATTCTAGCATATGTGAGGGTTAGGCTTCAAGGCCTTGTTCTCTTATCCCTTAAACCTAATCTCTGGGGCTAGGAATCTTCTTCCTCCCTTTGTGCTGTAGCTTTACATCTGAAAGACCCCCTTGTGAGGGTTCTGGCAATGGGCTGTTGGGGGCCACAAGGAAGGGATGTTTGCCGGTAGGACCAGAAAGCCTGAGCCTCCAACAGGAGTAAGATCATTGCCTAAGATGCATCCTCCACTGACTGGTGCCCAGTGGCCCCATGGCAGGCCAGGGACCAGCAGCTAGAAGAGCTCGTTCCCAGTTTGATGCAGAGTCCAACAAGCTTTGAGCTGAGAAGGGGAAGAAGAAATCTAGCCTCTTTGGGTCAGCCTCAGAAGGTTAGATTAGCCCACCCCCAAATTTTCATCCAGTTGAATTGAATAAAAAAAGAATAAATGCAACATAATAAAAAATTAGTAAATAAATATTAGGCACTCAATACTTGTGAGACCCTGAAAAACAAAAGCAAATCAGCCCTAGCCCTCAAAGAATTCAAATTCTCAAGAGAGAGAACTTTCTCCAACTCTAAGATCCTATTGTTCTAAGGGAAGCTGTTTCCCCAGAGGCCTGGGCCCCTGGCCAAAGATTCCTAGGGCTCAAAGTGTAGCTACCTGGAGAAAGGATACAACCAACTGCTTCTGTCCCTATCTATTGTTGTTGTTCAATTGTTTCAGACTCTTCATGACCCCATTGGGGTTTTCTTGGCAATGATACTGGAGTGGTTTGCCATTTCCTTCTCCAGCTCATTTTACAAATGAGGAAACTGAGGCAAACAGGGTGAAGTGACTTGCCCAAGGTCACACAGCTAGTAAGTGTTTGAGGACAGATCTGAACTCAGAAAGATGAGTCTTCCTGACTTCAGACTCTATGCACTGTGCCATCTAGCTGCCCTACCCCTACCCATGGTCATAGATAAAGGTCCAGGTATGCTCTGGGACTGCCCAGCTCTGCCTGAGACCTTGCCTTTACTCACAAATGCTTTGTCAAATGATTGACAGTTTTGTACTTCAGCTTTTCCATGAAGAGTTGATGTTTAATTAATTTAAATTAGTGCGAATAATGAATTTCCCTGAAGTACAGTACTTCTTATTTGAATTAACACTCCATATTTCCATGAGACTGCAACCAATTACCACATTTTACATAATTAGAACTTCAAAGAGTGCTCATTCAAATCCATACTGACCATTTCCTATAGCTGTGCCTCACATCCAAGCCTTGCCTTCTTCCTCTGCGATCTGATGCTTCTCCATCAGCTCAGAGGGAAGGAGAAACCAGAAGAGATGGACACTCATATTAGAGGCCGTGTCTGGTTGAAGAGACCGTGCAGCTTCTCCCCTCACCACCGAAGAGTGTGGCACAGCATAGTCTCTGGCATCAGAGACATCGAGGTGGCAACATGGATAGAATGCTGATCCTGGACTCAAATCCAGCCTCAGACATGAGCTGTGTGACCCTGGGCAAGTCAGTTAACATCTGTCAGCCTCAGTTTCCTCATGTGTAAAATGGAGATGATAATGGCGTCTGCCTCCCAGAGCTGTGACCATAAAATGAGATGTTTGTCAAGAGTTTTTTAAACCTTAAAAATCATTGCAGGATAGTTGATTAGGTACTGCTCCCAATCAGATGATCAACATCACAGAGATAAGGGGAAAAAAAACAAAATAGTTTATTTACTCTCAAAAGACAGGCTTCATTGAATAGTGAGCCCCTAGCATTAGTTTTAAGCTACACTAGGTGGTGCCACAGCTAGGGCTGAAGTCAGGAAGACTCATCTTCCTGAGTTCAAATTTGGCCTCAAACACTTACTAGCTGTGTAACCTTGGACAAGTCACTTCACCCTGTTTGCCTCAGTTTCCTCATCTGTAAAATGAGCTGGAGAAGGAAATGGCAAGCCACCAGTATCTCGGCCAAGAAAATCCCAAATGGGGTCATGAAGACACCCCTGAACAACAACAACAACAACATTAGATAGGTTTTGGTTTTGCAAGCAGGATGGGTACAATGGGATTTCAAAGAGCAAATAAGGTCAGATAATGATTTACACATCAGAGAACAGTTGGAGGAAGGGAAAGATCTATATCAGGTAAAATGGGAAATTCATCAGTTAACAAGAGACAGGTAGTTGATGTCTCAAGCTTGATTTTACAGAAGAGCTATGTGATGTCCTCATCTTAAGTAAACGGAAGAAAAAGGTTAAGCCAGAAATTCTCTTATCACAAGCACTATATAAATGCTAGTTATTTTTAAGCATGTGACCTTGGACAAGATCCTTAACCTCTCTAAGCCTCAGGTTCCTCATCTGCAAAATGAGTTGAGATTGACTCTGGGGTCTCCCAGCTCTGTCTGAATCTGGATTCAAATCTTGGCTCTACTATTTACTGCCTATGTAACCTTCAATTCAAACAAGCATGTATTGTACACCCAATATGTAAAAGGCTCTGTACTAGAGATACAAAGTTTTGTTTGTTTTATAAAAAGACCCAATTCCTGCCCTATGGGGTCTTTTTTTCTTTTGGTTACTTTTTCTTTGGATTGGAACTCAGTTTATTCATCTGCAAAATGAGCAAATTAGCTTAGACTTTGAGCTCCTTTCGCCTTTGTATTCCCAGTGCTTACTTAGCACAGTGCCTGGCACACAGTAGGCACTAAATAAATGTCTATTGGCTGATCACCTGAGTGACCCAAAGCTCCCTTCCAGCTCTATATCTTGTCATCATGTGAAGTCCCGATTATGATATTCTGTTTCCTCATTTTCCCACTTCTTTCTTTCCCTGGACTAAGCAATGAATCCTGGGAAAGTGAGAGAGGAGGGAGTTATTAAAGGAAGAATATAAGCCTTGTCTCCTCAAGAGCAGAGAAAGGCAAGGATGTGGACAAAAAAGAGTCCAGGACTTGGACTCAGGAGCCTTGAATTCTAGTCCAGACTGCCCCTTAAAAACTATGTCACCTTGGAAAACTTTCTTCATCTCTCTGGGCTTCAGAGATGTTTAATAAGGAAAACAGCAGCATTTCTGCTCAGAACTGTCATGAGGATTAAATGACATGAAGGAAGTAAAAATGCTGTATAAAGGTAAAGGGACTGGAACTATTATTGTGAAATATATTGACAAAAAGAGCTGAGAATGGGCAGCAACCCTCTGGGGAAAATCCACAGGAGAGGAAGGTACTCATCTGGAAGAACAAAGACTTCTTCTCTGGGATTGTCCCAGCCTGCTTGGAGCTCCCCTCAGCATATTTATAATCTGGAATATAAGGTGGAAGAAAAAAAAAAAAGGAAGCAGAAGCTAAGACCTACAGCTAACCCTCCCAAGTGAACTTGCATGTATTTGTGCTGTAATTGTGTGTGGTGTGTGTGTCCTGAGTCCCAGCCCCTAAAAATGCCAGTTCCCTGGGACAGGGACCAGATTCTGTATTGTCTTCTACAGTATAAGGTCTTCAATAAATATTCGAAGGCGCTAATGATGAATCACTTGTATCTTCCATTAGCTTTCAGGGATTTCTTAAGATGTTATCATTCATAAAAGAAATTTTAGGTAAAGGAAGAAAGGCAGCTGGGAATAGTGAGAAATGAAATGAGATAATAATCAAATGAGACGATAAGCAAAAGAGATAATAATTGTAAAGCACTTAGCACAGTGCCTGGCGTGTAACGAATGTGACATAAATGTTAGCTCATAT